TATTTAGCATACTTACTCTTATAAATAGAATGTTATTTAATTCTGAATAAGATAAAAGAATAAGTTGTAACATTACAAACTTAGCTATTTTATACAATTAAATGTTTTTGCTTAAATTTAAAACACTACCGCTTTTTATAAGACTAGCGACTCACTCGGGTTCATACCTAGGTACGTTTTAACGGTTAGTATACATTTCCCAAAGATGAGATATTTTCCCGCAGTGAAAAGTATCTAATATGTTAACCTTGATAACGAGCTATCATCATATTAAATCTCATCCAAATCTGTCCAGTGGGTTTCTCGTGATGCGTTCCCAGATAGATTCTAAAAAAAATTTATAAAAACTATAGATTCGGCCTCAGTATCGATAATAATGACTATTTAAAATGTCCAGATTCGACTCAGAATTTTATTATGATTTATTAATTAATTAAATATTTAAAAATTACGTATAAATTAATAAATACAAATAAATAAATAAATTAATTAAAATAAATTATTCACATAATTTAGTTTTATCTGTACACACAATTACTGTTATATATTCTGTACTATAGAATAAGATTTTCTAAAAGATATTGTCATTCTGAATAGAACCAAAACTTAGTACTAATGTGAATTAAGTCAATGTAAATCTAAATTGTTTACGACATTAATTTGTTATAACTATACTAATTACTAACAGATAATATAAAAACTATAAATATAAAATTTTAAGATTTTAGACTATTTTTAACACTCTATATCATCAGTGGGCGATGTAGACGACACGTCTAAGGGTCTCATTGGCATTTTTTTCTCTAAAGGTGGACAAAACTTATGAATGGAGTCAACTGAATGAAATTCCGATGTCGCCTAAATGCCTCGATGTAAAAAATGCAAGTTTGTATGTTTCTATACACTTCCTTTCCTTTCTATTCTGAATTTTACTGCGCCGTGTATTTTTTTTCTTAATTCTTGAAAGGGTCGACAAAAGGAATATAATGACCTTATCACTACTTAGTGTGTACCTCGCTTTATGCCAAAGATATTGCGTATTGGGTGGTGCCTTAACCAAACCAAGACTGTTATCTAAATCAAAAATGTTTACTTCTATTGGGAATCGAACCTCTATCCTCTAGCGAAGTATTACCAATATACTATATAATATATAGGTATGTATGTGTGTATGTCTATTACTCCTTCACGATGAAACTGATGAATGAAATTGGACGATATTTAGTAGACATAGAGTATGAAGTAGAACCAAGATCAACGCATCCGATCGAAATTAATCGCTAGTCACAAATACATATTATGTATGTATAATGTATATCTCGCTTTATGTCATTGACTGTTGAAATTTTATGAAGATTTTCATTTTACCTTGATAAACACAATTAATTCATTTAAATATTTTGATAACTAAATCATATTTAATTGCAAGAATAGTGGAAAGAAAACGTAATTTATCTTCATTTTAATATAACATGTACACATATAGAGATTATATAGATTTATTTACACGATGACTACAAATGTTCTCAGTTAAAGAAAGAGATTTGTAAACTTATACTGTATAGTCTGGAATTTATAATTTTAAGGCCGTGCAATAATTTTAAATGATATATTTTAAGAAATCTTTATTTCACTTTCTCTAATTTTAAACGTAAAATGACAACTGAAACGTATACTCGTAATAACCAAACATTACCAATGATCAATGATTAAATTCCTCTGATTGTTGAAAAAAGGTATCTACTATTAAGATATTAGAAAAAGATACGAATAAAAATTGCTTTTTATGTATAAAATACGTCAACATTTATGTATTAAGAGTTATTTATTGTTATTATGTAATCTTTACATATAATAAAATCGTAACTAAGCCGAATCTGTACATTGAATATTGTTTGGAAATTTTAATTGAAATGGACTTTATTATCGATACAGAGGCCGAATCTATAATTTTTAGAATTTTTGTCTGTTTGTCTGTCTGTCTGTTACCGCATCACGGAAAAATCATTGGAGGGATTTTGATGAAATTTGGTATGGTGATAGCTGGTTATTTTTTTTTTTTTTTTTTTATCGTCGGGAAATGCATTTACGCATACCACCTGATCCCCCAGGTGGTGATGTGGGGCTCACCGGCTAGAAGAGCCGGTACTACCCACTAAAACCCGACATCCCTTCCCCCCGCCTTAGTGGGACGCCGCAGGATCGCTTGCGCATAACTACTACGGCGCCCCGGCGGCAGGTCTGCCTAAATACTAGGCAGACCACCAAACCAATGGGGCTGCTCCACAGTCAACTATGCTACGTCCGAGAGGTACCCGGAGCAGCCCCATAAAACCAAAACACCGCCCACCGAAGTGGGCCACCTCCAATCGGCTGCAGAGGACAGGGAGAGCGGCAACGAAACACCGACACTCCTCTTCCCCTGCAGCCCCACCGCGTCCGCCATCAAACGGTGGCGGCCCCGTCTAGGCCGCGGAAGGTAGGGAGAACGGCGCACCGAAATACCGGCACTCCTCTCCCGCCGCGGCCTACCCCTCCGCCGAATGCGGGCCTGAGAACACAGTCCCGCAACCGGCACCCATCATCCGGTTGTGGGACCAAGCGGTCCCACCACCGGTGGCCGCAACGTCTTCGGCTCGAGGCCTAGACGAGCGGCCCCATCCAAGCCATTTGGTCCGCGCCGGATTTCTCCGGTACCACCTGCCCCTCTAAGCGGGTGGCATGCCCCTATCCGCCACCTGGGGACGCGCCCGGTAGGAGTTGGCTTCTCCCTCGGGATAGCTGGTTATCCGGGTCAACATATAGGATACTTTTTACCGCGGGAAAATATCTCATTTCTGAGAAATAAATACAAAAACTACAATGTAAGAGTTTACTAATATGTAATACCTAAGAATTTGGTTTTTCTCATCTAAACGCGGGTGGAGCCGCGGACAGTGCTAGTTTAGATATATAAAACAATATTGTTATTTCTGCATATTTGTCGTGCACTTTTTCCTAAATTGCACATCAAATCCTAAGGTATTATAAATACTCTCCTATTAGTTTATGTATTGTAAATATTATATTTACTATATAAATTATCTCGTATGAACGTACAAAAAAGATCTTCATATTCAAAGCAATAAACGGTGCAGCACGCAATTAGGCAAAAAGAGGTTAAACTTGTAGTGACTTTAAAAAAGCTTTATGTATTTAAAATTTAAGTACTCGAATCATTTAGCGCGCTCTCAATGAATATTAGTTTATATAAGCGAACAAGCGACAATCAGATAGACAGACAGAAAAAAATTTCTAAACACTATAGATTCGGCCTCCGTCTGTAGTCTGTACCGATAATAATAACTATTTCAATAAGATTTTCCATAAAAATATGTTATGTACAGATTCGGTTCAGTTAGAATTTTATTATATTTATAGATTTATACATCAATATCTCGTCATAACTTCAATAAACTGCACACACTATAAATAATGTTAATGAAAATCAGTACAATTATAAAAAAATGTAAACAATTCAAACGAACGAGAGGCCGCCATACAGATATTTATGAGCTCCAATTATTACATAAGCTTGAGCGGTGAGATGAAATAGTTTCGTTCAAAACGGATTTCATACTATTTTGTCATACAAGCGATATCTCAGGCAATTTATCACGAATGGTTTAAGAACAGTTTGTTAAAAACGCGATTGAATATAGCGTTCACCCACACAGCGCCTACACTTCGCAGAAGGCTCCGGATGCATAGTTTCTATGGGCATTGTGGGAAGAATAAATGGGCGGAAACGTATAGAAGCGAGATTTGGTGCAAGACCATCTGTGCTGGCGCCTATCGCGACGAAACGTTGCTTTTGCGCCGGCGCCCTGCGATAGGTGAGAAAATATCTCCTTCCCTGTCATAGACTAAATATGTGTTCAAGGTGAGTTTTGTGCCTATTTGTGGTAACCACCTGACGGAAATTGTGTTTTTTTTAAATATAAGTGGTTTTATATTTTTTATAATGATTTGAATGTTTGAATAGTTAGTTATAAGTTTGTGTTCATTAAAATATGTATATGATCGCGAGCGATTAGTGGTTTATGTTAAATATCGAATAGTTAAATGAAAATATTTTTAGTATATAATATATGTAAAGTACCTAATAAAGTTTTTAATAAATAAAATTCCAATCAGAACAATGAATATATTTTTTTAATATATAATCGATATCTTATAATTTATATTAATATCTAACAAGTGTTATTTCAGTTTTCGATTTCGATAGTAGAAACATTTTGTCTTTCGAGGAAAACCAAATATTATTATAATTGGTAATTCCAAAATTCCAAATTATTACTGACGCGTATATATATTACGTATAGGTTTGCTGACTACATAGCTAAAATATATAATAGTGTTACTAAAAATAAAGTTTTCGTAAGTACCTGGTATGGATTTGTAATATATATTAATTATTTTCCCTCCGCTACATCATTAATTTTATTTTAGTTCTTTGATGTGATATTTACTCCTTTGATGCAGTCGAAGCTTATTTATATAGGTTAGGTTAATTATAAAGGTTTCTTTTTTAAAACAATAACATCATGAAACAAGCTTATCGATTTTCAGAATCAATGAAATCCTTAGTTCATTTAGTTTCTATATAGCTATTGTTTTAGAGATAATTAAAGGAGATAATCTTTTATTATCAACAGAACACGCTACAAACACTATTTCTAAGCAAACATTTGGGGTGTAATAAAACATTGTAATCGGATTTGTTTGTATTGTTCGTGTGTTGATGATAATCTTAAACATGTGTTCGAAGTGTCGCGTCTGTGATCGTTACTGATAGTAACAGCTCTGTGGCGGAGGCGCGGTGCGTGACTCATCTCGTTCATTGAGCGGTGGTCCATTGAGGGGCGCTCACGCTCATTACCGCTTCGCCGGCCGTTCCTGCGCACACGCACAGCGCTTCGCTCCCAAGTTGCGACCAGTACACCGACGCACTACCTACGATGTTGCCTCTCATCTCTCGATACAACGTGAGTTAAACCTACGACTTCCTCTCGACCGAAGCCTAAAAGGTTTAATTAAATACTCGCTTATTATACTTACGTTGGCTTACAAGTGTTTTATTTTATTACAGATGGAGAGCTTTTCGAAATCGTGCATCTGGCTTGTTGCAGCGGCGTTGTTGGCCGCTTGCGGTGAGAGTGCTGGCGTCGGAAACAAAAGGCCGTTTACGCCTACTGATTCGATTTTGGATATTATCGATACGGAACAAGTTGAAAGAGTTCTTGCGGCGCGAAGACGAACTGAAGAGGCTACGGCATCATCGACATCCTATGTGCAACGAAATGAGCTCGGTGAAGGCAGCTCTGAAACTATGATAGTGTCCGTCCCTGAGCAGGAAGATGCAACCGAAATACCGAAAGGTGTCGCTTTCCGAAATATACTCAAGTCTTCAAGGAATGCACTTGTTGTGACAAAAAAGGAATACCTCAAAGAGGACTGGTGTAAAACAGAACAGTTAATACAAAAAATCCGGGAACCTGGATGCGTGCAGGCGACAGTGATTAACAATTTCTGCTACGGACAGTGTAATTCGTTTTATATTCCGAAAGGTCCGCGCCGTCGCGAAGGCAATGACGAACGACCTCCACCTGCATTCAAATCGTGTTCCTTTTGCAAACCAAAAAAGTTCACCTGGATCACTGTTACGCTCCGATGCCCCGGACAGAACCCTCCCTTTAGGCGCAAGCGGCTACAAAAAATCAAACAGTGCAAGTGTTTGCCGGTAGGCGTAAACTGATATTAATTAGCGACAGACCCTCCAGGTAAACAGGCGGACTGTCCGTCCAGCTCAATCCGAGTCGCACTCGAGGCGAGTTCCGAGCAAGCAAGCGGCCGTAAGGAGAGGAAAAGTAAAAAGTGAAGTGAAACGTTAGGCGATTAGTAATGACATTGTTACCTGATGTTTTGGTTGGTAATTAGCAGTCGCATATTTAAGTGAATACAGAGTCGACTGCCTAACATATTCGTATCGCGTGCTCTCATACGTCAATAGAGATGACGTCATGTGATGCAAAACGTCTAATAACTTTATAATAGAGCGGCTTCGACTGCAAGTCGCGAAGTGAGCTTTAATTGTCTGTAGTGATACTGATTAGTTGGTCGATGTTAGAAAACTGGTGACTGGTGACCTTGCAATCGTTTAAGGAATATTCAGTACAAACGCAGCCGTGGAAAAATCTATTCTCATTGCGTAATTATAGAACCAAGTAATGCCCTGTGTTTTATGAGACTTGCACGTTTTCTAATGTTTCTGTGGAATAAGTGTGATATTAGTTTTAGATATTTGTAATGTACAACGCGAGATTGAACAAATTTAACATTATTTATTGTAATTATTTAGTATTATATAGTTGTTAATACCAAAATACGCTTATACAATATAGCTTAATGATAACTGTAGTTACATCGTGATACAATGAGAACGATGCAAATACGAGTCGTCAGAATAAATTTAATTTGCGCGACTTAAAGTTAATTCAAATATAATGATCTCTGTTTGCTCTCAGGTGTATTTGCATTTTGTTTACAAGTAACAATTTACATAATATATTTTCTTATGTGATGTTTGACAAGTGTAAAATATATCTTGTCAGAGATATCACTAAGCAAACTATACCCATAATATATACATATATCACCTTAATTGTCCTCTTTTAAATAATTACTGTAAGACTTGTATAATATAAATATTGTAAAAACATCGATTTACTGGCTTATTGAAATGAAATTAAAATTCTCATATCTGATTTTAATTATTCTTTCATGTAGAGAGCTAACCTAAGACGTATCTCGCTGTCTTTTTGTAGAGTGCATAGCGTTAAGTCAAATAGCCCATATTTTGTAAATTTATTTACACTGTATCATAAACTTTTAATTGAAAACTCTATTATAGTGATTGTATTTTATACATAACTAGCGATTCACCCTCGCTCCGCTTGGATTTGTCCCTAGTTACGTTTTAACGCTTAGTATAGATTTCTGAGAGAAGAGATATTTTCACTCAATAAAAAGTATTATATATGTTGAAGCGGAGTTATCGCCATACCAAATTTCATCAAAATCGGTCCAGTGGTTTTCTCATGATCCATTCCCACACAGACAGGCAGATAAAAATTCTAAATACTGTAGATTCGACCTATGTATCGATAATAATGACTATTTAAATGAGATTTTCTAAAAAATATTTAATGTGCAGATTCAATTCAGAATTTTATTATATTAGATAGGAACAAATATATTGATTTTCAAAGTTAATCTAAAACTGAATGGCAGATGGCCGATCTGCCGGATGCACCCTTAATTTATAACAAAATGTTAACAGTCGAATGCGCTTCTCCTAATTAACCTTGTAAGTGCAAAGTAAAAAGTACACTAAAATCTACTATATGGTTTCAATAAAATAACCTGACTGGTTTATTAATAGATAAACAAATATGACATATTGTTTATTTTTTCCATAGATTTCTTTGAAATTAATAATTAGTAATATCGATATTCAAATCGAGTATGGCGTTACAGTTTATCCATTACGTTTAAAAATTTTATGCGTATACTAGGTAGTAAAATAATACAAATACCTGTAAGTTCTTCCCATTGAACTAACCTGCTCACCTACAAGATACATTTAATATTTACATTAGTAAGAAATTGTTTTAAAAGTTTTTTTTTCAAGAAAATATTGCTAAAATTACAATATATAATTAACATAGTACATAATGTTTTTTCTATATTTATAACTTCTTTGCCTAATATTAAAAAAAATGTGTATTTCTAAAGCAGTGCATTACAATGTTTATTATTATATTTTAAGACATAGTCATTTGTTTTAAATAAAATGAATAAAATTAGTGATATACTCGTAATAACGAGAGTATATTTTATTCTATAATCCTTTTTGTTTATCTTTTTATTTTATACATAGAACTAAGAACACAGTAATTCTATCAGTGTATGTAGTTATTTTAAAATGCATTATGAAAGTATACGATAGCGCATGCATTGCAATCATGAATATAACACACTAGTGACACACGCTCGCTTCGCTTGAGTCCGTCAATATAATAGGCGAATTTTGAAACCTTAGGTAACATTTTTGCAATTTTCGTAAGGGAGTTTTTTTTGAAAATAAAATGTCATGTCATGATAATGTAGCTTTTGATAGGTGAAAGAATTTTTAATAGTGGTCTCGTAGTTTTTTTGTTTATTCATTACAAACAAACACAAAAAAACTATTTTCCCCTTTATTGTATTAGTATAGACTAGCGACTCACTCGCGTCTCTAGGACTGGTTGAATTTGGATGAATTATAGACTAACTTGAATAAACTACTAGCAGAGCCTATAAATCAAAATTATTTTTTGTGCTACTAGTAAGTTATATACTATACTACGACGACGTTTTAATTTTTTAACGGCGCCCTAATTCATTTTCTAAAATAAAAGTATTCTAAGTTACTCCTTATAACATCAGCTATCTGCCAGTGAAAGCCACATCAAAATCAGTTCAGCCGTTTCGGAGATTATATATAATTTCATATGCATTTAGTATTAAGCTGTTATTTTGACATTACAAACAGATATTTTCATTTTTTTTGTACAAATATATAATATTATAAATACAAAAGGCACCTCTAAAAACACCCGAAACGAACCAGGGTAAGTCATTAATATTATATAACTTTTTAAAATAAAACTATCTTTCCGGATTTGACCTTTAAGAGAAAACCTTAGGCTGTCACTCTTATACTTCCCTGTAACGACTACTCGGCACGACTAGTAAGAGTTAAGGCGTAGGACCGACGGCTTTACGTGCTCTCCCAGGCACGGGCGTGAAATACCGCCAACTTCCGAACACCGGGCTGTTACTGAGACTTACTAAACAGAAAGACTCGATAATTAAAGTTAGCCCGACCCGGGACTCCAACCCAGGACCTCCAGATCTGCAGCCGTACATGCTAGCCACTACACCACCGATATATTTAGTTATTGAAACAAAAATTATTACATACGTTTGAACTTGAAAGCAACTTTATTTATATCGCTTAAGATTTATGATAGTAGTAAGTTAGATTTATTACAATTTAAACTTTATACATGAGGATAATTTAAACTTACCTTCTATGTATGCCATTTTCGTATTATGTTGTAATAATTATGTTGACATAACGGACGATGACGTCTTTAACACTTATATATACAAGTCACATAATATTAGAACTAGAATTACATTAAAATCATATTATATGATTTTTTCGTAAACTAGTTTTTTCCTGCGTATCTATATACATATAACCTTCTACTGTCTACAATTAAAAGGCTATAAAGACAATGACAATTTTTATCGGATTGGCAGTTTCAGAGATTAACGGTTATGGCAGTTAAAAAAACAAAAAACAATCTCTTCACTTTGATACTGATGATGATGTTCTCCTAGCCGATTCCGGCCACGGCGGCCATTCTCATCGAGACTACCCAACTGCGCAGGAGATATTATAGTGCACAAGTGTACGAGCAGACACAGGTGCACTCTCTATTCCTGTCACTCTCATACTCCGGTGGGACGACTGCTCGACACGACCAGTGAGAGTTAAGGCGCAGGACCGACAGCTTTACGTGCTCTCCGAGGCACGGGGGTGAAACACCGCCAACTTCCCAACTCCGGTCTGTTACTAAGACTTACTATACAGAAAGACTCAATAACTAAACTTGGCCCGAACCGGGACTCGAACCCAGGACCTCCGAGTGTGCAGCCGTACATGCTAGCCACTACACCACCGAGGCTTGATACTAATATAGTATCTACATATATAAAATAGGCAAAGACAAAATAGTTCAGTAGCTTTTTCTCTTTTGAACCGACTTCCAAAAAGGAGGAAGTTCTTAATTCGTCGGAATCTTTTTTTTATGTATGTTCACCAATTACTCAAAAATTCAACAATAATTATTTTTTTAAATAAATTGCTTAATCGAATATGTTATTAAAAACTTTCTTCTAACAAATTACTTGCTTATTACGTCTACACTAAAAAAAAAAAAATCTTTTTTTAAAATAATCGGTGATCATACATAAAAAAGATTCCGACGAATTGAGAACTTCCTCCTTTTGGAAGTCGGTTAAAAAAACACTAAAAAGTAAAAAATAACTGATTGGTAGTTTTCACTTCCCTGATCAAATAGTCGGTGCCAGCCGATACAAATCAAAGCACACCGACTTCGAAAATATTCACAGAAATCTTAATAATAAGCTAATATTATTAAGATTTCTGTGAAAATATTTGATTATGTATGTACCTACATATAGTAAATGAAAACTACCAATCAGTTTTTTTTTACTTTTTAGTGTTTTTATGAAGTTTTTTTTTAGTTTTTATTGGTACAATTTTTACGGTATTGTATTCAGCCCTTTTTAACGTCCCACTGCTGGGCACGGGCCTTTCTTCAATACGAGGGGGATCAGGCTATAGTCCATCACGCTGGACATGTGCGGGTTGGCGGACTTCACATGTCTATCAAAAACTTGTTAGGTTCTTTCAGACACGCAGGTTTCCTCACGATGCTTTAATTCACCGTGAGGTAAGTGGTAATCATGTAGGTGTCATAACAATAAAATATTTTTATGTACAGGTACCAATATGCTTTTTTGGTTTTTGGTAAAAATGTTTTTAGTTCTACAAAAGATAGTACATATGTACAATATTACATATGCACAGATACAGTACTAGATATGCATAGAGAT